GCAGAGTTTGCATGTTCTCCCTGTGCCCGTGTGGGTTTCCTCCCATACTCCAAAGACATTGTAGGTTTATTGGCTCCCATCTAAATTGATCCTAGTATTTGTATGAATGTAAGATAGGGACCTTGGATTGTACACTCCTTGAGGGTTAGGGACTGATGTAATTGTACAATATATGTAGAGCACTGTGTAAACTGATGGCACTATATCAGTACCTGTAATAAATAAATGTCAGTTGGGATGCAGCAGTTGCGCATACACACCTGCTGTTCCCAATTTCACAGCTGTGTGGGGGCATGCATCCTCACAGCTGTCAAACTGGGAGCAACATCTGTGTCTGGCAGCTGCTGCATCCCAATTAACAAGAATGGGACAGCTGTACGGAACACCTGTGCATCCTCATGCGGGCAAACACAGTCCTAGCATGGGTATACGATGTAGTCAGTGGTGTATTTAGGTTTTGTGCTGCCCTGGGCAACACAAAAATCGGACCCCCCACAGAGAGAGCCTGACAATAACCAACACCCCCCCCCCCAGACACCCAAGAGAGCCTTCAACTACCACCGCCCTCCATACACCAGTCCCACCCACCTCCCAGCGAGAGAGTGAAAGACACTCACCTTCACAGCTCCAGACATCCCCTGAAATGAGAGTCAGGCTCTGCATATGCCATCAAGAAGCTTGCAGCCTCTCTTGGATCCCACCCGATTCCCATGCCACGTGTGTCCCTTCTTCTGTCTCATCTTCCAGGAGGCAGTGCTGCCCCCCTGAAAAATGCCACCCTAGGTAAATGCCTTGTTTGCCTTGTGGTAAATACACCCATGGATGTAGTACAACTGTTTATTCCTACTTCAAGCCACAGCAATCCCAGATGGCAAAAAAAGAGATTGAGCTGGTTTTACCTTCAATCAGCTTTCAAGAAACCTTGTCACCAGACCATTAATTTCACAAACGATCTTCCCATAGACCCTCATTCACATGGGCGTTGAGATCTGTATAACTTGAACAGCCCAAGTTTTTCAGTGTGTCTAGAGCCCAGATGTTGCATGCAGATAGACCATTGAAGTCTATTAGAATGCAGCAGCTGCATAGACATAGCCGCTGATACTGATGTGACAGATGTGCGGGTTCAGGTAAGCGGGACCAAATGTGCACTACCTACATTCGGGACCAGTCACTTCTACCTGCACACCTGTCACATTAGAACTGGTGGTTGTGTCCATGCAGTCGATGTGTCCTGATAGTTGTCAATGAGCTGCCTGCATGCAACACACTGCAAAATGGGCCCAATCACAATATGTGTGAACGAAGCCTAAAATTCTGTGTGCATTTAAAGTTTTATGAATGTTATTTACCTGTAAAAGCCCCCTTGTGCAGACTTCTAAAACCCTGAGACTGTTGGGTGTCATCATCTTAATTGTGTTCTACTTTAGGTGACAGCAGACTCAGAGCTGTCAAAAGTAGAACTAAATGCAAAACCTGGATAGAGTAAAAGAAAGTTACAACCCTTGTCCTTTTTTTTTTGTTTTTGCCATCTGTGTCTTATTGAAGAGATTTTTTTTTCACTTCCTGTCCTATAGCCACAACAGGAAGTAAGAGGAAATCCCTCCAAAGTCAGTAAATCCCTGATTATCCCCAAGGTGACTGGAACTAGAGCCCCCATGTCATGTTCTGGTGACAACCCAAAATGTTGGATTTTCTTTCACTGTCGGTGATAAAGGTAAACAGGACAGAGAGGGTGAATCTCCCTAATGGGGATGCAGACTGCAGTACAAACCTGACAGGGGTTCTGATCCCTCTCCACTCTATCCAAAACTAACCTTTGCCTTTAACTATAACTTAACTTTAACCTGGCGTCCGATGTGAGCCTTTGCTTGCCTTGATCCTGCCTTGAATTACACTCACCAGCCTTTATTAGGTACACCTGTTCAATTGCTTTGTAACACAAATTGCCAATCAGCCATTCACATGGCAGCAACTCAATGCATTTAGGCATCTAGACTTGGTGAAGACAACTTTCTGAAGTGCAAACTGAGCATCAGAATGGGGAAGAAAGAGGATTTAAGTAACTTTGAACGTGGCATGCTTGTTGGTGCCAGACAGGCTGGTCTGTGTATTTCAAAAACTACTGATCTACTGGGATTCTCACATACAACCATCTCTAGGGCTTACAGAAAATGGTCCGAAAAAGAGAAACTATCCAGTGAGCTGAAGTTGTGGCCCCTTGGTACCAACTGAGCAAATGCCTCGGCCTACCTGAGTATTGTTGCTGACCATGTCCATCCCTTTATGACTACAATGTACCCATCTTCTGATGGCTCCTTCCAAGGACAATGCACCATGTCACAAAGCTCAAATCATCTCAGACTGGTTTATTGAACATGACAATGAGTTCTATGTACTCCAATGGCCTCCACAGTCACCAGATCTCAATCCAATAGAGCACCTTTGGGATGTTGAGGAACGGGAGATTCGCATTATAGATGTGCAGCAGACAACTCTACAGCAACTGTGTGATGCTATCATGTCAATTTGGACCAAAATCTTTGAGGAATGTTTCCAACACCTTGTTGAATGTCACGAAGAATTAAGGCAGTTCTGAAGGCAAAAGGGGGTCCAACCCGGTACTAGCAAGGTGTACCTAATGAAGTGGCCAGTGAGTGTATTTCTGCCACTGACACCAACAATGGGACATAATTCCTCCAACTAACACCAACTATTTCTCCCAATACCAAAGATGGGGCATTGTTTACTCCCACTGGGCACAGTCCAGCCCCCCTAAAGACTGAAGGGCAGTAAAGTGACTCTTCCGTTAGGAAGTTTGGAGAAGAGACCTCTGCTTTGAAGTATAACTAATGTAAAAACCTTTTTCTTTTTTTGTAGGATAGAGGGATTAGAATACCTGTCAGGTGTTTAATTCAGTCTGCGTCAACATTAGGGAGAGTCACCCTATTTGTCACTGAAAGGAAAAGTGAAAGAAAATTCCAAATGTTGGGTTCACTTCAAAACACTAATAGAGGGGAAATCTTCCAACAGGAATACTAGTTCTGGTAACCCACACTGGGATTCCCTCACTTTGGAGGGATTTCCTTTCACTTCCTGTTTTGGCTATGTGATAGGAAGTAAAGGTAAATCTCCTATATGGGACACCGATGTAAAAAAAAAAACTGAAAGGGGTTCTAATCCTCCCCTGCGCAATATGGAAAAAAAAAAAAAATTCTGCTTTAAGTTACACTTTGAGGGGAGATTTACTAAAACTGGAGCACTCAAAATCTGGTGCAGCTGTGCATAATAACCTATCAGCTTGTAACTTCAGCTTGTTCAATTAAGCTTTAGCAATAAAACCTGGAAGCTGATTGGTTTCTATGCAGAACTGCACCAGATTTTGCACTCTCCAGTTTTAGTAAATCTACTCCTTTGGGTCAATCTATAGTATTTCCCTTTGCTCCTAAGCCGCTTAAACATTTATGTAGGGAGGGGTGGAGGAGCTGGGCCAGCAAAGACAGTAATTAGACACTCCTAGAACAGGAGAGTGCTAGGAGTGGTGAGCTATGCTTGGGAATTGGATGAATTAGCAGCTGCATGGTTTAGTTAAAGGATAAGTTCACCTTTGGGAACAGGTTCCACCCGTTTTTAGGGTGGACGATGTAATATGTACCCAATGCTGCAGCCGCTGCCCCCCCTCCCTATGACGGAAGTATGGGGAGAAATTCTCTGTACTAGCTGTCACTTTTTAAAAACAGCTCCGCCCATACAGCTCTGCCCACACAGTGTTCTGTGAATGAATGAACTACAAGTCCGGACATCCTTAGCGGCTGTTGGCTTGTAGCTCTCAATGAACTACCATGGCGCTTTGGAGAACTGTGGTAGTTTATTGAATCTTCCTGTCAGCATATCTGCTAGCTTGTACATCCCCTCCGGCAAACAAATATACTGACTGGTCTGCAGGAGACCTGCATGGCACCAGCGTTCTGCTGATCGCTGGTTCAATGCTTTACAGGCTCCTGCAGACAAAAATAATAAATGTACATTTTTTTAACTTGCAAAAAATGTGGTTTTAATATTTTTGGTCAAAAGGTGAACATATCCTTTAAAGGTGAAATTTTTGTACTAGTTCTGAGGCACAGTTCTGCTTTGGTTTATATGCTTGGGAATTGAGTAGTTACTTTTTTTAGCGAGTTCAGAGTCACCTTGAAAGTGAATTTAAAAAAAAGGAAAATAGAAAAGGAAAATGCTGAAAGTATGCATTTGAAAGAAAATGTACTATTTTTGTGCTTTTATCTCCAAATTGTTCAGCAAGTGACAGGGTGAAGAAGGCTGCTACTAGCAATCTCCTTCTGAAAATTCTTGCTGCCTGGTGGTTCCTGCTTCAATCATTTTTGTCACTGACCTGTAACAAGCATGCAGCTAGTGAAGTCAGAGGAAAGGAAGAGAAGATCTAATAACATTAAAATATATAGTTAATATTTGGGTATCAGCTCTTTTGCTGGATGTCTTGTTGCCCTTATCACCAGCCTGGAAACATTGAGAAATTCTCCATTGTCTGCTCCAGGAAATGGCTGTGGGAAGACATAGTGACATGTTGGCACTCCGATGCCCTCCTGTCTTGTGATCACATCACTCATCATTCTAAGATAATAAGACACAAGACCTTGTCACATAACCGACGCTGCTCTGACCACATTTACTGCCTTCTGCTGCAACCTGGGCTGTGTGGGAGGCTGTAAACACATCACACCAGCCATGCCATTGTATATGAATCATGGTCCTGAGCTATAAACACATTGCTCCTCGCACTCTCCTAAATACTGACACAGACCCAAAATGGGGGGGACTAAGCTACATATATGTCCATTATTGCCAGGATCCCATTGATGTCTGTAAAGAGAAGGCTGAACCCATAGGACATACACTGTGAGGGTCATTCCCGAGATGACAAGGAGATGAACATTGTGTTACATTGTATTGCTCTCTTCATGGTCCCATATTTGATTCTGTTTTAGAAATTCACACCAATGATGGGTTGAATGTCCAAGATCAAAACCTGAAAGGGACTCAGAAGTGGTCCTCGTCTCTGGACAGCCTGCTGGAAGATCCAGAAGGTGTTGAAGCATTTAAGGTATGTGATGTTAAATTGGTTCTGAAGGCTGAAGGTTTTTGACCTTCATGTATTCTATTCATGAGGGTGTAAAACCGTTAGTGTGCAACTCCCCCCTCATCTGAGTCGAATCCCGATCCAACGATGCGCTCGAGAGCAGAAGCACTCCCAAGTCTCTCCCTCCTCATTGGCTGAGACACAGCAGCGGGAGCCATAGGCTCCAACTGCTGTCAATCACAGTCAGTGAGGAAAGATCAGGGGGTGAAGAAACTTCCTCTGGAGGCACTCAGCTGAGAAGAGGAGCCAGGAGCGCCGGTGGAGGACCCAAGAAGAGGAGGATCAAGGCTGCTCTGTGCAAAACAGGTATCCGCTCCCCCCCCCCATCCAAAAAGGTGCAAAATATGGCAGTGGATGGGGGGGGCAAACAAGCGGAGCTTCAACTTTTGAGTGGAACTCCGCTTTAACTCCTGGTTCACACTAGTGCGGGCTGTGCGGCCCATGCTTGCTCAGGCACAGGAGCCCATTCATTTGTGAAAGCTGTGTGGACAAAAGGCAGGCAGAGGGCAAAGGCCTAGTCATTATTATTGCCAGTGGTCTCCCTGTAGCTGATCTTTTCCTTATTATGGACCTAACATGCCTTGTTCTGCACTATTTCTCTGTAAAGAGTAAGCTATTATGTTAAAGTCAGGGCTTTGCATCCTTATGTCAGAGCTGCCCTTTTGATGATCTGATGACTGGTGGGTTAATGATAGAGGTGGAGGAAACACAATTCCACAGAATGGATGAAGCAGGAAGATTCTTGCACTGTGGGTCCTCAGGTACAGCTTCCTCTCCAGCAAGGAGAGCTGTGAGCAGCACAATACCGACATTATCACACTTGAAATGTGGTGAGGCTCGCAGTCAGAATTAGCAGTGCCTTTGATGATCTCACACTGCAGATAGTGTACACAGCTCTGAGGCTACAGAACAAGAGTACCTAGGCACACAAAGTGCACTGCTAACTTTCAGGAGATATTCCAAACAAAAGGTAGATTCTCCAAGGTACCACTAAGGCCATACCATTTTCAAATGTTTCCTTCAAGGACAGCAAAGCTCCCTAACTTTTAAAATTGAGTCTCTTTTAACAAAATTAATTTCTGGATGGATAGGAGAAACATTGACTCCCAGATTAAAAGCTGATGGGGCTCTGGAGGGGGTTTATTTCAATTTGTCACCCTCCAGCATGCAAAAGCCCCTAAATTAGCCAAATCATAGGATGAATGATGAGACTGGCCATTTCCAATGTCTATTGCCAACATTACATTTTAAAAAGTTTTAACCACTTCAATACTGGGCATTCGCTGCCCAAGCCAGTTTTCAGCTTTCAGAGCTGTCACATTTTATGATTTTTTTGAGAAAGATAGAGCCTTCTTTTGGTGGTATTTAATCACTACTGGATTTTCAATTTTTTGCTAAACAAACGGAAAAATCCAGAAATTTTTTTAGAAAAAAAACTTTTCTTTGTTTCTGTGATAGTATTTTGCAAATAAGTAATTTTTTTTCTTCACTGATGTGCGCTGATGAGGCTGCACTGATGGGCATTAATGATGCGGAACTGATGGGCACTGATGAGGCTGCACTGATGAGGTGGCACTGATAGGCGGCACTGATTGGCACCGATAAGCTGCACTGATGGGCACTGATAAGCTGCACTGATGGAGCTGCACTGATAATCAGGGCACTGATGATCAGGGCCCTGATTATCAGTGTAAACAAAGTTCTGACAGCCTTGCCGGGTATCGGTTGTTTCTTCCTCACATAGACAGTGTGTGAGGAAAAGACAGCTGATTACCAGCAAGCCTGTTTACATGTGATCAGCTGTGATTGGACACAGCTAATTACATGGTAAAGGGATGCTGTGATTGGCCCTTTTACCTTGATCTGTGATCAGCTGTGTCCAAAGGACACAGGGGTCACAGAGTGCACCCGATGCACGCTCCAGGGGCTGCGCAGGAGGCACATTCTGGGAGGACCCTCCCAGAACAAGGGAAAGGTGGTTAAAGGAATTATATTAGCTATTTCCACTTTGTGGCTTTCAATGTCTATATCAGCCATTCTCAACCAGGGTTCTTCCAGAGGTTGGTAGGAGTGTGACTGATTGACCTAACTTGGTGCCTACATAGTTTCAGAGCCAATGCCACTTGGCAAAGCCAGCGGCATGACATTGATTATGTTTTTTTTCTATATGTAAATGTGTAATTCTGACCCCTGATGAATTGCAGGGGTTTCCCGCGACCTAAAATTTATTTCAAGGGTTGCTCTTGGGGAAAATAGCTGTCTTCATCATCACAGAACATAGTCATAGGAAATGTAAAGAAGGGAAAAACTGTGTCAAACCAACCATGAGCACAGATCAAATAAAAACTGGATATTGGCTGTTCCAATTTGTTGGATTCAGTTCTTCCATCCAGTAGAATTGTGTGTAATGGCAGACACTGGTGGGAGCACAGCTACATTTCCATCCCTGGGGCTTGTAGATGCCCAAAGCAACACCAACCTGACGTGATCATGTCTGTGATGCACATCATTTCTTTTTTTGCTGGCCCCAACCTGTTTTATAATATTGTGATAATGTGTAAATAAATTTATATGGGATGACTAATAATGGGGAAAACATGTAGCTGGTACTTGTACTGGGAAAAGCCACCACTCTACCCTTGTAGGAACAATCCTAGTGTGCCTAATGATTAACTCAGCCTGAGGTGGAGCATAGAAGCAGCCATCTGTCCTGGGGGCTGTAAGTGTGGAGTTCTAAAGAAATCCATCCAAGTCTCAAAGTCTGAGAACAGTGCACCCCCAACCCATTTCACTGACCCGCCCAGTAGAAAATCCGTCACTTCGGTCCTTTTGTAAATATTATGACGTTCAGACGTGTTGGATGAGGCCGCTGCATTGCCAAAGAGCAGAATGTAAAAATATTTGGATTTGAGTGTTTAACTGTTCCAGAGCAGAACAATTCTGGGTAGAGACCAAGGGTTTCCAATCATCCATTACTGAATCAATTTCTGTCATATGACCCTATATATGAGATGGTGTCTTTCAAATTATAGTTATGAATGGTGAATAATAACAGTGATACGATGCTGATTCTGATAAAGATGTGTATAGAACAGAGCAAATGATCCACTAACTAGCCAGAGATACCTGAGAGTACTGGTTGGGAGTAGCCATATTATCTCTAAAACTGTCCCTAGAGCCACCATGTGCCCATGGGGAAGCTGCCACATATAGAGTACTTGAAAGAAATATGTGCGCTTCATTTGCTGCCTTCCTCCCAAAAATGCTATTTGCCTGGCTGTGACTCAGGTGTAGACCAAGCATGCAGAAAATTGCAGAGAAGTTTGTCATCTCTATGCTTTTTCCAGGTCAAAGACGGTGAAAGTACTGAAGTCAAAGCATCAACATAACAGCCAGCTAACTGGCATTTTCAGAAGAAGAAGGCAATAATGTCAGCCACCATATGTATTTATTTTCATTTAGAATTGGGGTTGGCATAGAGAAACAGAAAAGCCCATTATGCTCAACCGAATGCAGATGCAATAAGCACTGGCAGTGCTCCAAAAACAGATGACGATGACTAGTTAACTGCAGATCCAAGACTGTGCTCCTCTTTGAGGAAACGTCTGGCCTGCCCTGATGGCGTGTAGCACAATGTTTCATCTCCACTTAGCTTCTCTGCCTTTCATCTATTTTTGTACTGCTAAAAAATATTAATTGGATTATAGAAAGGGTTAATGTTGTGCAAGATCATGTCTAACGGCGAGACTGTCATTGCTTAGGATTTCTGTAGTGCTGGACTTGGGTAAATCTCATAGTGGATTGAGTTCTCTGAGCACTCCGGTGTGACGTTCATGATGGTATCGTAAAAACCAGTAAAGTATCACCTGTAAGCTCCCACCACTGTGCGGTCATTTTCCATGGTTGAGGACCAATGTCAGAGAGTGGGGTTTATTTACTAAACCTGGTTGACTCAGAATCTTGTCCACTTCTGCATAAAAACCAATCAGCTTCCAGGTGTTATTGCTGAAGCTTAACTGAACATGCTGAGGTTAGAAGCTGATTGGCTACCATGCACAGGTGCCCAAGATTCTGAGTCAACCAGTTTTAGTAAATCTCCTATAGTCTGTCTCTCTTGTGGAAGATTTCGATAAAGAGTCAGTCAGTGTAAATGTTTCTTCCTGGCATAATTACAGTCCATTTTAACAATCTTGTAGAGTCCTGAGCCAGCTTGTTCAGCAGCACACTGCTACAGTTTTTGTACCCATAAAACACTTCTTAATTACTGTGCCATAAGCCAGAGTGTCACAGACACACATACACTCCAGCACAAAGGATAATTAAAAAATACCTATTCCATTACATGTGTTGTTCTGCCCAAAGAGGATAGACAGAGAGATAACACTTTGGGGTTGATTTACTAAAGGCAAATAGACTGTGCACTTTGCAAAATGCAGTTGCACTCTTCCAAGAGTAGTTGCTCCAGAGCCTAGGAAATGAGGTAAAGATTTACTTTGCAAAGAATACCCAATCACATGCAAGGAAAATAAAAACAGCATTTTTGCTTGCACATGATTAGATAATGGAAGTCAACAGAGCTTCTACTCATTTACTAAGCTCTGGAGCAACTGCACTTTGTAAAGTGCACAGTTTATTTGCCTTTAGTAAATCAACCCCTTTGTCTGAGCCTACCTTAAAGTGCATTTCCACTTTTGCCGCCAGATTGGTGTAACACCTTCTTTATATATTTGATACCTGTTCCTATTCATGTAGCATAACTTAAAAAAAACATTTAAAATTTGCAGCTTAGTTTTTTTACTTGCTGAAAAATCGTACTTCGCTTAGCTTTCACTCCTATGTAACATTATGGAGAGGTGCTAGGGAGTTGTGTTTACCATAATTAATCTTGCCTGTACTGTGCTGGCAAATCTCATTATCAATTTAAACTATATATGTACACTGCCTGTCCTAACAAAAGGATAAAAATCTCAAGGCTTGGATAGTACATTGTATGTTAAGGCACTAAAAAAAGACAATCCAAAAGTCTGTTCTCTAATTGCACATAACCAAGCTATATATAAACCTGCTCCAAAGCAACAACTCAAAAGGTAAGAAATATACATTTTTTAAGAAATATTTTTTGCCACTGTATGCTATGTGAATGGGAACACATAAACATATAGTGGGGGTTTAGTAAATTTGACTGCAAAGGTGGAAATACACTTTAAAAAAAGGTTTAATTGAGGTCACACCACACATCTCTTCCCATAGAATTCCATACATTTTTTTGCAAAAGCAGTTTCCAAAGGCACTCCACTCCAGCAAAGATGCATTTTGCCCCCCCCCCCCCAATCCCACTAAGGTTTAAGCCTATGATTTAACGTATATCTTTAGAGTGAACTGGGCAGTGCTATGTAAGGAGCGCAGTGCACAGGAGTATGTAATGTGCAGGCCTTTGCATTGTTCCCTTACGATAGTGGTCAGCAAGAAGAAGAATGTCCCCTTATATTGGTCTTAGCCGGAAAAAGAAAGCCCCACATATTGGTAGTCATTGGGGAGAACATGCTGTCTTACATTGGTGGCAGCAAAATGACACCATTCTTTGATGTAAATGGAGATAGAATGTGTCTTACATTGGTGGTCACTGAGAGGAAAAATGTCCCCTTTACATTGACATTCAAATGGAGGAAGAATGCCCCATTACATTGGTGGTTAGAAATGTTCCCTTACATTGATGGTCAGTGAGAAAAAGAAAACCTCCTCATAATGGTGACCATTGGTCATTGGTGGGAAAATGCTGCCTTACATTGGTATCAGAGAAAGGAAAATGCCCCCGTACATTGGTGTAAGTAGGAGAAAAGCATGTCTCTTACATTGTTCGTCACTGGGCGGAAGACTGTCCTCTTAACGTGGCAATCAGCTGGAGGGAGAATACCCCATTAAACTGATGGCCAGTGGGAGGAAATATGTCCCTTAAACTGGTGGTCAAAGCAAGAGGGTTTTTGTACTAACTGGCTGGTTCAGCTAACCTGTAACTCTAGGAAGAGTAGTATGTGTGGTCTGTTAAAGCCTGTGTGCAAGTCTACTTGAATGCTGAGCGTACTGACCAAAGGTATCAGGAGATTGTTCCCCACAGGTATGTAATTTGTGGATGGTAAAAGCTTAAATCTCAGTGTGTGCGTACTGTGTTGTCTTTCAAACACTACTAGTGTCTAGATTGGGAGAACCTTGGCATTCTTGTTGTAACAGGTCAGCGTGCTGATCGATTTCAGAGGATGTACAAGGGATGATATACTCGGCACATTGTCTGGCTTCCCTCACCCCATACCCCTTGGGAGGTGCGCCCTGATTTTTGACAGTCAGTGGAAGGAAAAATGTCCACGTGAATTGGTGCTCAGTTGGAGAAAAAAGGTTCCCTTGCATCAGTGATCAGTTGGAGGAAGCATGTTCCATTGCATTGGTGCTCCGTTACGCTGCATTTAGCAACGCCCCTTAGAGTAGAAATGCAGACCTTCTCTTTCTGTGTTATCTGCATGTAATGACACTTCTATACAATGATCCATACATATGGACTGGAGGAAAATGACAGATGCTCAGTAAGCTGGGTGGACATAGTGGTTGAAATCTATGAGAAACAAACACTTTCCTCCAAACTTTTGAGACATCATATTGGGGAGACCAATGCATACTGTGTATTCTGCAGTTTCTTGCATAAATGTTATTCTAGTCCAAGGAACTAATGTGCCAGATAAACAGAACTGGAGCTGCTTTCTCCAGTTTTGGGCTGGCTGGTTGCATTGTTCTTCCTGGCCATCAGTCTTCCATAGTTGAGGCTCAGAGTGGCACCTCTTACAAGATGTTGATCCAAGTATCTTTCTGGTTTGGTTTAGGATTTCCTGAAGAAGGAGTACAGTGAGGAGAACCTACTCTTCTGGTTGGCATGTGAAGATTTCAAGAGAACGGAAGAACAGGATCAGGTATGGTCTACAAAAATTAGCCCTCCACCCTGGTGATGGTGTCCACTGAGGTGGTATTAATAAGCTTTCCTAGACAGCCAGTCAACAGTAGGCACGAAGGCAGTTCCAACTGACTATTACTCCACAACTACGGTACTTTTATCCTGCTCCAGATTATCCCTTAGTTTTATGTGATGTCCTGCTTGTATTGACCAGCACTCATCTGTCTTGACTTACCTCATTAATCTTGTACACAAAATGATCTCCACTTCCCTTCCCTTGTTCTGTCTCCAGCTGCAGAAAAAGGCCCAACACATCTACAACACCTTCCTGTCGAGTAAAGCCTCCTCACAGGTCAATGTGGAGGGTCAGTCCCGTATCGGGGAGCAGATCCTGAGACAGCCTCACCCTTTGATGTTCGAGAGACTGCAGGAACAGGTAAACCTCTCCATATACTGGCACAGTGTAAAGCCCTGCACTTTTGTTACACTGGCACCTCTAGTATTACACCCCCTTCCTTCCACTAGGTACACATAGACCCTTTCCCCTTTCTATACTGATACCCCACAGTACCAGAATCCCCTTATTACACTAAGACCCATACCCCTTTCACTGATACTTCACAATACCAGAACCTGACTACCGATGACATCAAGAACGCTCCACCTTTTCATTCTGACACCTCACAGTTCCAGTACCCACTCATACTAATTAGGCTGAGACCCCTCCATTTATTACAATGACACCCTATAATACCAGGGTCCTCATACTAATTAATATCAATTATACTGGGACCCTCCCTCTTATTAAACCTCAGTGTATGTGGAGCTTTTTGCAAACTTTCATGTAGAACTATGGGATTCAGATGATTTTCACTATATATAAAATTATAGTGCCTTGTGTTATTGCCACAGAAAAGTAATGTAATTTATTTTTTTACACCAATCAACAGAAATAGACAAATGTCAAAGTGAAAACATATCTGTAAAGTGATTTAATGTTTAGTGTTTTTTGCATATTCTGTGGGGCCAAGATTGTGCTGGGATTGCACCAAAGTAGTACAAGAACCTTTTCCAAAATTGCACCATTCTAAGTTGCACTGATGTGAATGGGCACCATTGGAAACAATGTGATTTCCATTGTCATGTGATTCTGTGTGGCTCAAGTTGCATCTGAAATTGCACTAATGTAAATGGAACCCAATTTACAGCCTAGCATACAGGCACTGATGATACTGATGAGGTTGGATGGAAGGGGATGGGTGCTGCCCATTATCTAATTAGCACAGGTTGGATATTGTTAATAACAATCTTCAAAACTTTATAACTGTGTCCAGTTATAAGATATGAAGTAAGAGCAATAGTCGCAGCTGTTTTTCTGCTATGCGTAGTAGAGTTGCACCAACAGTTTTTTACTGGCGAGTACGAGTACCTAGAAGAATACTGTGCGATTCCTGCCCAGATAGCATGCATTTTCCCGCACAGCTCCTGTGAACCCAGACTTGTCATAGTGACTTTGTGTTCACACAGGAGCGGTGCGGGAAATCTCCCTGCACGATGGGTTCCACCAGCAGCTCCAGGTCCCATTAGTGGCTGCAGCTGGGGCTCCTCCTGCCTCTCCCACAGCATTGTTCCCTGCATCTCCAGTGGCTCTCTTCCCCCAGCCTCCAGCGGTTCTCTCCCCATCCCCCCAGACCCACTGTACCAGATTGCCAATCCCCCACTGTCAGACACCGAAAAGCCGCTTCACCGCTGCAGGGATTTGAAATCCCTGTGGCTCTCTCCCCTCTCCTAGCAGTGCGGACAGTATGGGCTAGACGGCTTCTGATTGGTCAACACTGTCACATGGGGGCGATTAGACCAGGGGGATGGGGAGGGATCCAGTGGAGGCTGGAGGCTGGGGGGAGAGAGCCACTTGCAAATCCAAACAGAAGTGGGTTGCTACTACCTATCACATTCATTAGGCTTAAAGCATATAAGCTCACCGTGCCCGACTAGCAGTCTCCATCTGCTTATAAGTACAAGTCCAATTCCAAAAGCGTAGGTTTACCATGGAATATTTTTACCCCTTCATGAAATAAAGAAGATTTTTGCATTCACCTGTTGTCGACATTTTTGGAATTTGGGGGAGAGAGCTGCTGGAGATATGGGGAACAAAGCAGTGGGAGAGACAGGAGGAGCCCAAGCCGCAGCCGCTGATGGGAGCCGGAGCTGCTGGTTGAACCTCGCATGAGGTTTCCCACACTGCTTCTGTGTGAACTGAGGCTCAGAGTCACTATGACAAGCCTGGTTCACTCAGGAGCTGTACGGGAAACCGCATGTGATTCAGACAGGAATCGCACCGCATTCCCGTTCCAATTGCATGCAATTCTTTGCAGTGTGATTTGGGCCCATTCATTTTGTATGAGCTCAAATCACACTGCAAATGTATCAGTTCGGGTAGCGGGAGCATTTGCATAAGTGTGAGTACTCGGCAAGTACTCGGTATCGGAGCAACCCCAATGAGTTGGGTCCAAACGCTGATTCCGTATGCCTACCAGAACCAGTAGAACCATAAAAAGGTCCAAGTATTAAATTGATCTCCCCCATATTTTATCATAAAACATGATTGTTGTATGATTATTAGTTATTACCTTTTTTTAAATGTTTTTGAAGATTGAAATACACTTGGCATATCTACAACTAATTGAGATGCAGACAGAGAGTCTTCAGTTTCCAGTGTGAAATTGGATTAATTGGAACCAGCAACATAAACTGTCTAAATGACCCCTCACTATGAGGACATACAGATTAAACATTTGGCCTCTGTTAAAACATTTATACATATCCTAAATCATCTCCGGACACTGTTCCTGTATATTTGAATTAACTTTTCCCTGGCGGGATCAATAAAATATTCATAAAAATAAACACACATGTGATGCACTTGACTGGAACATTACAGAGATCATGCAAGAAGGGGACTAGTGAAGGAAGCCACCATAAATGTGATTAGTGAGGGAGGCTACAAAGAAGGAGAGTGCTGAGGGCAGCTGCGAAATGGGAGAATAGTGTGGGAGGCAACCATAGGGAGACTGGTAAGAGATTCAATCATGGGGGAGAATAATGAGCTTGACCAGCAAGATAGAAACTAGTGAGTGAGATCAGCAAGGGACAAACTTGTGAGGGAGGCAACTAGGATGACGAGATGGGCAGTGGCCTCCAAGATATAATATGTAAATACTAGAATGAGCCACCAGCCCACACACTGAGCCATCTGGTTTGCGAAGGTCTGACTAAGGTAAATTACATACTGCATTTGTGGTACAGATACCAGACACGTACCGTCATAGACTTCTGTGGGGATTTCTCCTAGATTGGGAGGCAAGCAAGGATTGGGAAGAATGGCCCAGCCTATCACAGGTAAACATTGTTTGCAAAACGCAGCTGGTCTAAGTGCAAGAGCTATATAAGTATGGGACTAAGAAGAGGGAGGGTGGGCTGGATAAGCTCAGTAGAGGGGGCAAGGGAACTTATAAACAAATTTCCCCTATTCTGTAATAAAAGAGGATTTTCCATGCAAAAACATAAGGCCTTGGCTGTTCCCTATTCTGTAAACTTCTGATTGCCTTTCCAGGCCTTGAATCTTGACCATGACACCAGTACTGATTTAATGTTTTCTTGTATGACTTTTATGTGGTCTATTAAAGTATTTGTTGTGTAGCGCCCCTCTAGGGGGAGCTAGACTAGGTTTTTAGGCAGAGGCTGAGTCATCCTGGTCACCTGGGGTCAGGACCAATGTTAGGTATAATTGGGCCTGATCAACAGGAAGTCGGGGGAGTGTGTGTCAGGTGGAAGATGAACAGGAGGAGTGCAGAGCCTGGGAGGGGGCACAGGGAAGGGGTCTACCTACAGGCAGGTGCTGGAAGAGGGGGCCTCCACAGTGCCTCCATCAACTAGGAGCCTGAGCAGCAGGGAAGGAGCCAGCCCAGCAGAAGGTCTGAAGGCAGCCACCAACCCATAAAGCTATCAGGACAGTGCGAGTGACCTTACACCCCCTGGACCAGATAAGGGGAGAGGACAATCAGGTGAAAAAATCAACTAACTCCTCAACTGGGACTGTTTGATTTTGGGCAGCTTCTGGATCCCCTTGCCCAGGAAATACCCGTAGTACTGCTGGGTGAAGAGGGGGATTCATCTGGGGTCTGAGGAGGTACACTAGAGAGCAGGAGTACTTTCAAAGAAGAGACAGATTTTTGCTTCCTGTCCATAGACTTGTACATAGTTTGTCCTCGCAGTTCACAGTTCCTTGGGCATCCCATGTATCCCTCAACCCAATCCAAGTTTAATACCCCTAAATAAAATCACAAAAACAAGCCTAAGGACTGGTTACTGTCTCAGTGTGCAAGCGTGGAGGAAGAAAATGCATGTTGCCTGGCTGTGCAGAACTGTAAGGGGATCCTAAAACTTAGCGACTCCTAAGGGGGTAGTGCTGCTGTTGTATCTTTTCATTGCTACACCTTCAGTGAATGACCCACAAACACAGATATGTAAACAATGGTATTGCATTTAATAAAAAATGTTGAAAAAAAACAAAATGTGTGTTTTTTTGCCAGCCCAACAAAAATGGCTTCAAAAAGCCATTGATCAAGAAACTATTTCAGCACAAAAGACAAAATTCTTAATCTTGGTTTCCAAAGCTTCTGGGAGTTGCAAATTACATCATCATGCCTCCTTGGCAGAGCTGGAAGTTCTGAGAATGTATTCCAGCCCATTGCAGGACAGAAGCACACACACAGCCATAGCTTTGCTCAAGACTGGCCTCTCCTGCATATGGACAACCTGGGTGCTGGCCATCACAGTCTGTCTTCACTCTCCATCGAAAACAGGACAGAATATCAGCTGCACTCCACTTAACTCTTCTTGTAGTATTTTTAATAATGAATGAATTGGCTGCATACAGTGATGTCTCCAACCCAAAATCCACCTTTTCAACCATTCCTGGCTTGCTCCTTCCGTTATCCTTGTGAGCAAGCCAGGAGGAGTGAAATGCATCAAGGAAGGCTGGTTTTGGGTTGGAGACATCACTGTATGCAGCCAATTCATTTATTATTAAACAACTGCTAGAATAGCTAAGCAGAGTGTAGCCCATTGCAGGAGTTTATTGTTACGGGATGGGATCTCACATACCCAGCTCTGCCATGAGGCATGGTGACGTCGGAAAGTAAGCTGACCGCTTCAAGTGAGGCTCGATCACATAGCCCCTCCACACACGTCAGTGCTGAGGCCCAATTCGTGATCGTAGGAACAGTGCCGAAAAACAAAGGTTCGCCGCACTGGCAACGGTGTAGCAGAATTAAAATCCTTTATTGGAATCTTCACAAACAGTATAATATGAACATGACAGCTCCAAGACTGGACAGAGAAACAATAAACGAGTTTCACACAAACACGTGCTTA